AAAGCTCGATTGCGTTCACATTCATACCAGAGATAGAACATCGAAAAAGAAAAACGATATATTTTTGCTCAGAATTTTCTGACAGGTTCTTCTATGGTTTTTCTGGAAAACTCTGGTTTACATTGGACTATGTTACGACACGTCGAAAACTTCATTCTGTCGGATCCAAAGTGTGTATTTTCGACTCTTGTTTTCACATTTCCTTTTTCTGTTTCATTCTATTTAAGGACATTCACATGCATACGATATATGATCTTTAATATTCATTTTGTTAAATTTATATACTGATGTGTAATTGTAATACAATGTTGATCATCATTACTTAATGGTTTTGATGTTAAACCTTTACGATATGTATATCTCAAGCTTTTCATTTGATTTCACCATATTCATCAATCATTTGTTCGTATAATTCTAACATAGCTTTAGCTATTGTTTCAATAGGAAATCCTTTTTTCATGGTCAAGGTCAAGATCAGAGTAAATTCAAAATAAAATGTGTTTTGATACAGTTAGATGAGGCAGTTAATTCCAAATAAGATGATTTGAATAGCATATGACAGTTATCTACTGTAGATATATTAGAAACTCGAAGGAACCTTACTTCGTGCTTAAGACTCTTCAAGAATGTCTTGAAGGATGCGGTGAACACTTTTCTGGCGTTAATATAACACAGATGCTTCATAGACTAGAGATGTGCAGAGTAGCTGTTTCTGAATCCCTGACCCTACTCGGTGAAAATTGTTTGAGCCCTATCTCTACCCTATGCCGTGACACTGAAACCCTGGCTCTACCACTCAAGTGATTTTAAAGACTGGCCCTAAAAAACCCTTTGCAAATTTTGAGATTTTTTCATGACGACCATTTCTTTATTTTTTTATTTACATCATACATGAAGTCATCATTTTTTAGAATTTCTTAGCAGCATAATCCCTAGTAAAATCTCTGACAGGATCCGAGGCATATCCTACCAATATTCTGCTAGGATTTCTCTTTAATTTCGCAGGATCCTGGTAATATCCTACAAAATCTTAATAAAATGTCTATTTTCTACTAGGATCTTACAGAACCCTAACATTTAAGATCCACCTAAAACTTCCTAGCAGGATCCTAAAATGCTAGACTCTACCAGGATTTCGTATAAGCTTGTTTAGAATCCTAACAGAATCTTAGAAAATCGTATGTTTTTCGGGTATACCTGATTTCATTAGAATTTTGTAGGATATTACCAGGATCCTAAGAAATCAAAGAAAGCCTAGTAGGATATTGGTAGGATATGTCTCGGAGCCTGTCAGAAAACTCATAGGGTTTTTACTAAGGATATATCTCCACTGCCTTGACGTTTCGCTTTTTATCGCTAACCTCTAATATCAATTGGGCATAATATATAGACTAATGAAATGAAAGATAAAAAATTCAGTTGGCACAAAATGGTGTTAGACCTATACCGATCGACTGATGCTGTTTAAGGATAGTCGTTCAATACTTCATCAATCAATAAACGTTAGTGAACTCGTTTAAATCGCTCGTAATATCGTAGTGAACTAAACATTCGACCACGGATGTTCGGTTCTCGATTCTGGAAGCAAAACTGCGGTTCCGGTTAGCGAGTTAGAACCAAGACGAAAAGATCGCGGTTCCGGTTCCTCATGCGGAACCGAAACGAATAGGATGGCGATTCCGGTTCTTGACTTAGAACCGAAAAGAAAGAAATCGTGGTTCTTGGCTCTTAGCTTAGAACCGGAAAATAATTCTACAGGTAGTAGTAATTCAATGGAATAGAATTCATTTTATAGTAAACGAAAGAATTCTTTTAAGTGATGGATGAGAGACAAATATGTCTTGTTGTCGCTTTCTCAATAGTGTCTTTCCATTTTACTAAAAAGAAAGGCAAGTAAAAGAGCCTCAGTCTCGAGAAAAAGGAACCGTTAAAGAAACCGCAGTGCCGATTCCCATTCCTGATGAAGAATCAAATAAGAAAACCGCGGCTCCGGTTTTTAATATGAACCGGGAACCGAACTTCCTACATCCGACTAGTGTTATTTACGTAAGGACTGATAAATATTACAGGTTCTGCATGAGTAAAGTTTGTTTCATTATACATAACTTATGTGTGTACAACATATACGTATTAATATATATTCAATAGCTAAAGCTACGTTAGGATTAGAAATGTCAGATAAGAAACTAAAGATATACATATCGTAAATCTCGAACCTTACACTTACATTGTTTTCGCTGTCCCACTCCATTTCTTCTGACAAGACGAAGTATAAATGAATAACAAACTAAATTTATGAGAAATGTTGTTGTGGAACATAAANGACATTTCTAATCCTAACGTAGCTTTAGCTATTGAATATATATTAATACGTATATGTTGTACACACATAAGTTATGTATAATGAAACTAAATTTATGAGAAATGTTGTTGTGGAACATAAACGTTATAATATCTTTCATTTTTACATACCCATGCATTGAAATCGTTCGGCGAGCTAGGTCACGAGACCTAAAACGGACCTAGATGCTGCAACGTCTTTAAAGCTACAGCGTTGTTATATAAATAAATCACTTCCTTTTTAGGAAATGTATCTGTCATGTGATCACTATCTCATCATGTCTTCTTGTGACACTATTGTTTATATCACATCATGTTTTTCTGTTACGTCATCTTTTCTATTGTAATCTTTCTCGATTATATACACAGGCTTGTATTTGTACGAAGTGTGTGCTTTTGATTTCTTAATAAACCATTTGTACATACAATTCAAGATTTGAACAAGTTAGATGGAGCCTAACAAGTGATGATTTTATATGCCAGTACGAACAAGGCAGCAACAACAACAATTAGATCGCGAAGCAGAGCAACGACTGGGTGAAGAATTTGAGCGGTTAGGAGGGATTGAAGTTGAATAGATAAATAATATAATTGAGCTGGCACATACTGTTTGTCGCCGAACTCAATTCATTATGATCGATGAACTGGTAAATTCACTTTTCTCAAAAAGTTTGAAACAACTACCGAAATTCAGTGGAACAATAAATTATGATGTGAACAAATGGATAATTGATATTATTTAGTCAAACTAGATGATTTACAAAAATTGACCGTCATTTAAACATATCTCGATGATGATGCACGCTGATGGTATATTAACAATATGTAAACGATGCATAATTGGACAACATTCTTACTTGAGTTACGCTCGACGTTTTCATCATCATTTTTTGAAGAAGCAACCATTGATCAAATTGGAAACCGCCAGCAACATGTTGATGAAACTGTATTGCATTGTTGCACGGATACGATGGAACTGGCAAACAAAATTGATCATCAAATGAGCGACGAACTAAATGTGGTGTAATTTACAACAGGTTTGAAAATATTATTGAAAAAAAGAAGTGATACAAAACAAACAACAAACACTAGTTGAATTTATCAATATCGAATATTTATGCGTCTTTGATGCTGCATTATGCTCAGAAACTTGTTTAAATGATGCTATTAGTTTTTGAGATGCATGTGATGCATCTCAACGTGTGAATACATAGTTTCTCTGAAGTTTTCCAAATTGATCGATCATTCGGGTTTAACAATTTTTTATGTACAGTCACAGCTAAAATCTTAGCATAATTTAACGATTAATTGCTTTATTTCCGGTTTATTGGACCAAACTCATGCGATTAATTAGTACGAATCTAAAAAGAAAGTATATAAGTGAGACTATACGCCATTTTCATACATTTTAACAATTGGATAACATTCGGTATAGATTTTGAAGGTCTACTTATATCAGATAATTGTTTTTTAAAGTATCATTTGTGTATACTTGTTGATATATGTTTGAATTATTTGCAAAAAGTTAATAATTCAACTAGATGAATGTGTAATTTTGTCTTTTATTGCATATTTTGATTGAGATGGTTTCATATGTTCAAACTTACTTATTATGGATGAAAATAAAAAAAATTTGCTTAGATTATTGCCTTTTTGATTGATCTGTGACCGTTGGTTGTTATTATCGTACTTTGAATGAAAAAATGTGCTTGTTGTTGTGAGTAATGGTGATAGTAGTAAATGTTTGATTACATACTACACCAGATGAACAATATGAATATACTAGTGATTTTGTTACAGAATTTATTGCTGATCGTGTTGTTGTGTATTATTTTGGACTTGAATTTGGATTTTTAGCATACATTTATCTGTTCACTACTTTACATCCATTATCATTCTCATGTTTCGAAATAACGAATCTGAATTAAAACTAAAATTTGAAATTGTGAATTCTAAATATTACTTTCATCTCTCTTTTTTTCATTAGCTAACAATGGTATCTGTTGTCTACTATTTTCTGAATATTTGATCTGTTACTACAACGACGATCCTTATCTTTAGATTAAACAAAATTGTTCGTTAAATTAACACATTTTTTTGTTTTAAAATATACGTCTTATCACAAGCGCATAACTAAGAAGAATGAAAAAAATTTAAATGTATTCACTGTTGGAAGTAGATTGACAGACACGATAGATAATGCTAAAAAATATCGTCATCATTCCATAGTTTGGTCCACATATTCTGCAAGTTTTGGTTCAGATCGACCTTAATGGGACCACAATAGGTTTCTGACCAGGGAATCTAATACTAACAGACCTTTGAAGTGAGTCGCAGGATGGATAATAAAACAAATAGCGAAGCTCTTAGTAAGATGCATATTATCGTAACGATAAAATCACACAAATCGGTGTTTATTTACTCATTATTTCGTTGGACTTCAACGTGAATACGAATGTAGGTATAAATTTGATTCGAATTGTTAAGTAAAGTTTCGATTTTGTTGAGAAATCTGATCGGTCAATGAGTGTATAGGAAGTATCAGAATGGTTTGAGTGTGAAAACTGCATCATTATTTAGTTGAAGAAATGGATTGATCTTGTTAACAGTGAATTTAATTATTTAAATAATGCTCAATATTTTATGTATGAATACTTGATTTATGAAGAATCATTGGTGAAATTTTGCTTACATTGACTTGGAGCTGGCACTCTCACCCAACCTTTTGTTCGATAGTCATCTTCTGTTATATCAGGATTTCTGTATGGTCGCTTTTTAAACGGCAATCGTCTTATTTCCTCATTCTGCTCAGGTTTCCATACTGTTCCAAAACCCGAATTTGGTCCAAAACGAAAAGTAAATTGTCCTGCTGTTGGTCGTATAATATCCAGTTTGTAATAGAACCTAATTGCTCGCGCCAATTTGTCATATGTCATCTCGTGTCCACCATGTCGACCTTTAACATGTTGCCATAACTTAGCAACTTTTGATGGTAAGTGGAATTTAAATATGCCGTCGGTAACACTATTATAAGAGGCATAAGAACGATATTCTGCTTTATCCAATAATAATCTTAGAAATTCGTGAAGATGTGGACGTCGATGAATTTTTGTCTTATCATCTACGATTAACCAATCAGATACAGGTGTTTTACACATTCTTAGTACCATCCACAATTCCTTAGGGTACTCGTCGGTCGTGACATGTTCTGATGTCATATCTGAAACATATAATAGATGTTTTTGAACAATATCTTATTACAATAGAAGCAAACATCTTCCTTAAAAATCAGGCAAAAAAATACTTTGTCACAGATCAGGGTAGGTAAAGGGTCTTTTCTCAAGTATTTTTCACACATACTGCTAGTAAAAACATGATTGGATAAACCTTGACATTTTCGGACAACATATATAGAAATGAGGACTGAGGTTGACATTTTGCTCACATTAACTCAACCAGCGTGATCCTATATATATATACACGCATATAACATAGTAGATATTCCTCATGAGTATGGCTTTTTCTTATCCGGAAAAGTACACAATTTGTTTTATTATACATTGTTTTGAAGCTTGTAAAACTTCCAACAGATTAGGAAGTTTATATAATTTGAAGGTCGTTGAGAACAACAACACGATCAGCAATAAATTCTGTAACAAAATCACTAGTATATTCATATTGTTCATCTGGTGTAGTATGT